GTCCTCCTCAGTTTCAGCAGGCAGGGTTGTGTCATCTGCATAACGCAGATTTGTTCTTAACTTCTTGTTCCCAATAATCATTTCCTTTATCAATCTCAGTTAAAAATCCCATAACCCTATCCTAGATTTCTATCATCACCAAGTTGCTGACAGGATGGCTCAATGTCAAGCACCCAAATACAGGACTACCAACCTCTTTTTTTTCAGCTTGTACATTTGTGTGATACTCTAGTGACAAGTATTATCATATCATTAGCTGTGACACTACTACATGCCTACTATAAGCAGCTACTTGAAGAGGTGATAAAGGTATAGCCATCATGGCACATGCTGAGTAAAAGAACTCCAAAAGAAATAAAAATGTAATGATTTGAAATTTATTTTAATACTTGGGCAATTTCAGTTATCAGTGTCATGTTTAAAAGCAATCCAAACTACATATCTTTATTGAAATGTTGATCAACTGAACTTGCAAACTGCACCTGCAAATTGCACAAAATCTCAACAGTCTTAAGAGCACAAAGCTAGTACTGAAATGGGTACCTTAAAAGTTTTTACATTCTTTAAAATCCAAGTATAGTTTTAAAAGTTCAGCTATCTTAATTATGGTCCTAATTGGATCAAAGTTCAAGCTATTATACTCAAACTACTAACAAATCATTAAAGGGAAGTCAGAAATATCCATAATAAAATCATTAAACCTTCATCTATAATGAAACTTGGTCCTTGAGGTAGAAAAATGTCATTGGTTATAACAAAATAAATCAGATAAAAGGAAATGAAAATGAACATAATACTAGGAAAAACAAGTAAAGTGAAATGGGTAATGCATTCTCAATCCTTAGTCTATTGAAACAATTCCTGGTATTTTACTATCAATGAGTATGTCAGGCTATTCATTCCCACTGTTGTTGTTTATTTGTGCTGCTATCTTTAAAACTGCTCCCCAAAATGGTGCCCATAATTGAACAGGTTTATGCAATAATTTTTTCCCCATGTTAATAGTCCTAACATACAAAAGCATTTTATTTCAGAACAACTATAGAGTTTACAACAACAGTTCAAATTAACATAACTACTTTGATTAAAATGATTCCATACCTCATATGTTGCAAGTCGATCCAAGTAGGTTAATAATTTCAGTCTACAACGGCAAAGTTCTTTTTGTTCCAGCATTAACCTGTTTTGAAAATTACATTAAGCCACATGAATGTCCTTAAAACCTTATTTCTCTAAGAGTTAAATAGAATAAAAATTACTAATACTCCACTGATCCCACAACTCATGGAACAGAACTCTAAAGCAGAAGGGTAAAATGATATTTAACTCATATAAGTTGATGGAATAATTAAGCAATTATTGCCATCAAAGAACATATTTCAATGACTAGTAATTTTAAAAAAATTACAAATGAATAGTAATAGATGATTTACTTTGAAAAGTTCACTAATTTAAGGAGCTCTTGTCTCCTCATGAGTTCCTTTTCCTTTTTATTCTTGGCAGTCTCTTCTTCATCAGGTGAAATCTCTTCATAGGAAATGTTGTCAATGTCTATTTCACCAGGTAATGCAAATCTGCAAGGAAAAAAATTATTTTTTAATTCATGGAGTAAAATTCTAATTTCCTCACTTTCACTAACTATTAAAGTGAATAGCATAAAAACAACTAATGATTAGAAAGAAATTTTTGCTAAATGATTATATCCACAGAATGAGGAAAACAACTAACAGTCATCATCATAGGAAGAAACGAAAAATACCAAGAAAATAAAACTTATTGAGAAAATCTGTGGATTTTACCTAATGCAAAGCAACCAATGCAGAAAGCGTTACCAACTGAGTTTAAAATTTTACTCACTCCTGCTAAAGACTTTAAAGCAGTAATGAATGTCAGTTTCATTTAAATTATTCATCAACTATACTACCGTATTTATATTTTAAAAGAAATTCCAGATGTCTGGTGAGCAACTACTCTTGTCAAATAATTTTATTATTGTTATTAACTGACATTTGTATGGTACTTAAAGGTTATGAGGTGCTTTCCCAAGATATATAATTTAATCACTCATAGTAATTCTGTGGAGGAGGAATAGTACTACAGATGAGGAAAGTGATGTTTAAATTTGCTGAAAAGTCTTTCATCTATTAAGTAAATGCAAATGTCTGCCTTAACCCCACAGCTTAAAAATAGGCAACAGTTAATAAATATAGAATTGGATCTTTCTTCAGTACCAAACTACAATATGCAAAGGTATTTAACATACAAGATTGCCGTTATCTTGGGTTGTTAACTACCGTCAAAGCATAGACAGAGGGGAAGGAGAAGCTGAGGCAGGCCTGTACGATCTGTGCTGGTGCTTCCCCTGAGGGCCAGCAGCTCTTCCAGACCATTCACAAGAGGTCATGTGGGACAGGAGATGCACCTGTCCCAAGGTAGTTCTGGCTGGTTGTGCCACAGATGTCTTGACTGTCCGGTGACCGTATTCATGAGAGCCCAACCAGAAAACTGAGTGCTAGTGTTTTGAAACTATTCTGCGAATCCAGAGATGTGGGTCATAACCATGTTCCACCAAAAATAGTATAATCTCAGATTGTTTTCTCTGGGATTCAGTTTCTTAACTAAACTTAGTTTTGGATTTGATGATCCTTAAGGTCCCTTTAGAGAGCTCTGGTGGCCTAGTGGTAAGAAATTGTACTGCAAGGTCACAGTTCAAATTCACCAACAGCTTTGTGGGAAGACAGGCAATCAACTGCCTCTGAAAATCTGCTAGAGGCTCAGCTGTGAGTCAATTCGGACTCAACGGCTCACAACAACAATGTGATTTCTTTAAGCAGCTCTGGTGGTTTAGTGACAAGAAGCTGAGCTGCAATCTAAAGGCACATAGTTCAAATCCACCAGCTGGTCTGTAGGAGAGGGACGGGCACGCTCAGCCTGTGCAATTAACTGCCTCTGAAAACCTGCTAGAGGGTCAGGTATGGGTCACTCCCAGCTCAACGGCAACAACAGGAAAGTTGGAAACAACCCATATAGCTGACCCTCCCGTGGAAACATCAATCAAAAGCAACTGTTTCATAACAGAATGACATAAATTTTTAATGTTCAGCCTTATTAATATGTTATCTCAAAAGTTTGCACAAAGTCCTATTTGGTTTTTAATTCCAAATCTTTCTATAACTAACCTGCCATCATCTGCTCCTTTCCCTATTGCTATAAGAGCCTCCAGGTCAGTGCCTTTTAAACCATACTGAAGGAGTTCTTTTGCAGCATCCACATTTTCAGGAACTCTTTCCAAACACTCATGCAGAACCCAGGATCGTTTCTTTATTTTACTCTAGAAACAAAAGAAATAAAAAAGAGGCATTAAAGAACTTATGATTATCTTAAAACATCTTCCAAAATTACAGGGCTACCCATGAAGTATTGTAGTGTTTCTGTCAAGTCGCAATCCACCCGTAGCTGACTCTCCAGCAAGTTTTCAGAGTTAACATGGAAAGATAACGCTCATCTTCCCCCCGTGGATTAGCTGGTGGATTCAAACCACATACCTTTGAGATGCCAGTAAATTCCTTACCATGACACCATGAAGAGTCACGAAGCAGTATACCTACTTAAGTACTTGGTGCTAGAGAACTTTATCCTAAAAGATAATTCCCTAACACTGATTAGAAGCACTGCATATGATTGAATTTTTTTTTCTTTCTTCTTCTAATGACTCACATCTAAAAAAGAGGGGGAACCCTCTCTTTGTATTTACTGTGGTCTCCAGACTGCATTCTGAATAAATTATAAAGTAGGAAAGACGTGAAATATTCTAACAAGCATTTTCACTTGGTGTTTCACTATGAATCAAAACTAATGAAGCACAGCATATCAACGTTCCGTATTTACTTTACTATAAGATACATTACACAATGCAAAAAGAAAAAAGATATATCACAGTACAGATGATAATCTAATAACAAAAACAAGCCACACCAGGCTGTTATTTAGAAAGATCAAGGTTCTGATACTTCCTTCCATTATTTCCACAGATAGTAATTCAAAATTCCTAAGCTGACCTCCTCTTAGAAAGAGATGTTAGGGTTCCAAATTTAGAGTATCATTTGGTTCATACTCTGGATACATTCCTCTGTCGTTTTAGTTGTCAGGTGTCATCAAGTCAACTATTCCTCACAGTAACCCTGTAAACAGACTGAAACTTTGCCTATCTTGCGCCATTAATCACGATCGCTGGCATGTTCAGTGACTTGTAGCAAATTAGCAAATCTTTTAAGAAGCTGAACTCTATGAAGAAGAATGTGGCATCAAGATCAGATGAAGACTCATTAACAATCTGCACTATGCAAATGACATAATCTTGCTTGCTGAAAGTGAAGAGGACTTGAAATACTCAGAGGATCCAAGACTACATAACAGCCTTCAATATGGATTGCACCTCAACATCAAGAAGACAAAACTCATCATTGAGCTAATGGGCAACATCATGATAGATGGAGAAAACATTAAGACTGTCAACAACTCCATCGTACTTGGATCCACAATCAATACCCTTGGTACAAGAACTCTGGAGATCAGAAGACATACAGAGTTACACAAGTCTACTGTCAGAGATCGCTCCAAATTACTGAGTAGCAATGATGTAAGTCTGAAAAGTAACATGTCCCTGATTCAAGCCATGATCTTTTCAATCACTTGCTATGCACCTGAGAGCTGGACAATGAATAAGGCTGACAAAGAAGAATGGATGCTTTTAGGTTGTGGTGTTGGAGAGGAGTACTTAGTAGCTTATGGATTGTGGAAAATCTAAATACACAGGACTTGGAAAAAGTGCAGCTAAAGTGATCCTTGAATGCCAAGGATGGCGAAACGTTATTTAACATATTTGGGGCATGTTTTCAGGTAGAATTATTCCTTGGAAATGGACATCATGCCTAGAAAGGTAGAGGCTCAGCAAAAGAGCAAGTTGTTCAACAAGGTAAGAGTGAAAGAGTGACTGCAGCAAAGGGCTTAAGTGTGTCAAACATGTTGAGTAGGGCACAGGAAAGGATATGTCACAGATCTGCTGTTCACAGAGTGACTATGATTCATACACAACTTTATGGCACCTAACAATAACACAGTCTCGCCAGACAACATGCCCAAAGTATATAAGGTGAAGCTTCACCATCCTTGACCCTAAACAGCACTATGGTTTCACTTCCTTTGAGACAGACTTGATCATCTTTTGCCAATCCATAGAATGGATATCCAATACACTTTACCAACAACACAATTCAAAGGCATCAATTCTTTTTTTAGTCTTATTTATTCATTATCCATTTTTCATAGGTATATAAAGTAAGTGAAAACCTATTTCTTTATACAATCTATAACAGCAATTAATTCTTCAAATGTCTTGTGCATTTCCCATGCCTATAGCTGTAACCTCAAAGGCACATGGTTCGAATCCACCAGCTGCTCCTCAAGAGAAGGATGGAGGTGAGCTCTAGTGGCCTAGTGGTAAGAAGTTGTACTGCAATCCCAGAGGTGCGTGGTTTGAATCCACCAGATGCTCTGCTGGAGAAGGAGGGACAATCTCCTCCTGCACCTCTCAGATCTGATTTGACAGTACACACAAAAAGCTAATAAAATAAAAGAAAGAAAAGGATGGACAATCTCCTCCTGTGTGATTGATTTACTATCTCTGAAAATCCACTGGAACATCAGCTAAGTGTCAGTTCCAAATCAATGGTACACAACAGCAATAAACAATAGCTTCCTACTAGGTCAAATCAGGAGCCTATCAGGGTTTCTTGAACATCAGTTTCCTTCCATCTAATTCATCTTCTACAAGAGCTTCCTCTGTAACTTCATGGTCAAAAATCCACAATATTACACAAAAGATTGTTTTCAAATCAACATCAGTATCTCAATATTCTTCTAGCATGTTTGCCAATATTCACTGTCAAATGTTCACTGCCAAATGTTAGCTCTAGAGAATGAGCTTGTCCTAAAAATATTTACTTTGCATCTGATACTGAAACTGACATAATACAGAACTAAAACAGATTTAGTCACGGAATTCTTTATTAAATTTATTAAATTCTTTATTAAATTTTAAAATTTTTTTAAACTATTTTTTCTTCTGAATTAATGAAGATCTTTCTTCTTTCAAGACTTACTTTAGCTCTTTTCAAACCCTTATCCAAAAGGACTGGAATAACACATCAACAAAGAACTGCCACAGATACAGCTGGATTTAGAAGAGGTCGTGGTACTAGGAATATAATACCTAATGTTAGATGGATCTTGGCTGAAAGCAGAGAGTACTGGAGACAGGTTGGCTCAGGACAGAGGAAGGTTCAGAGTTACTGTACATAGGGTTGCTATGAGTTGCAAGCTGGCACATAACAATTCAAGACATCCTCAATATAATCTTTCATAATCACTGTGTTTTCTCGGGAAAATCAGAGGCTTCCTAAAAGCAAACGCCACATAAATGCTGTTTTTAACCCTTAACTCTGTATTTATTAAAATTTTTCTTATTTTTGCATTTCCTAACACATATACTTTTTAAGGAGACAAATTAGTTCTCTATTACTAAGAAAATATCAATATGTATGTATGTGTGAGCTTGCATTCTTACTGTCGTAATTAAGTTAAAAGAAAGATAAATACAAGATTCATGTCCTAATCATTCTCATGCTTTCTCATCACTCATATTTTACCTTGAAAAATGAGTTCTTTTGGAATTTGGTGAAAATGGTATCTTTTCCATACAAATTTTCCAAAATATTGTTACTTATTTCTAGTAATTCATGGATATAAATCTGTAAGTTAAACAACCATCAAGAAATTTCCCCCAAATGTCTTAAGATCTTTTTAAATGCAAAAGACATTTTCCTTTCTAAATGTCAGGTAAGAAGACATACATTCTAAAAGCATACTTCCTCAAAAAGGCATAAAGGATAAAAAAAATTACAGTCGACATAAAAACTTTTATGACACACCTACCCCATTACCCCAGAATTGAATCAATCCACTGAAGGTCTTCCTCTCTTGCAATGTCTCTCCACCCTCCCAAATAAAACATCACTCTCCAAGGACTGGTTCCTCCTTGCATCATGTACAAAGTATGTTAGACAAAGCTTCAGAATCCTTGCCTGCAAGGAGCAGCCTAGTCTCACCCCCTCTAGGACAGGCCTGTTTTTTCTTCTAGCGGTCCACAGTATATTCAATTCTCTTCTCCAACACCACAGTTCAAAGGCATTAATTATCTTTCTATCATTCATAGTCATTGTCCAGCTCTCTGATGCACAGCAAGTAATTGCAAAAACGATGGCGCACCTTGGCCTCCAGACTGAAGTCATTGCTCTTCAGTACTTTGGAGAGGTCGCTAACAGTAAAATTTCCCAATGCAATTTGTCTTTTAATTTCCTGGCTGCTGGTGCCAAGAGTGTTGACTGTAGGGCCAAGCAAACTGAAGCTGTTAACAATCTCAACGTTTTCATCATCTACCATGTTGCTGCCAATTGCTCCAGTGGTGAGAATCTTTTGTTTTCTTGATATTGAGCTTCAATCCATATTGAAGGCTGCAGTCCATAACCTTCTGCATCAAGATCTTCAGGTCCTACTCAGTTTCAGCAAGCAGGGTGTGTCACCTGTATAATGTAGATTGTTGATGAGTCTTTCTCCATTCTTGATGCCACATTTCTCCTCATAGAGCCCAGACTCCCAGATAATCTGTTCTACATATAGATTGAAAAGGTATGAAGATAGGACACATCTCTGGCATATACCCGTCCCAATTTTGAGCCATGCAGTGTTTCCATGCTCTATTCTCATGAGTGCCTCTTAGTCCAAGCACAGGTTTCATATAAGCAAAAGCAACTGTCCTGGGCTTCCCATTCTTCTCAGAGTCAGCCACAGTTTGTTGTTTTCCACACAATCAAATGCCTTTGCATAGTCCATGAAACACAGATAGACATTCCTCTGGTACTTTCCGCTTTCAGTCAAGATTCATTTAACATTAGCTATAATATCTCTGGTCCCACAGCTTCTTACAAACCCAGCCTGTACGTCTGGCAGTTCTCTGCTGATGTGCTGTTCCAGTCGCTTTTTGACGATTTTCAGCAGAATCTTGCTTGCATGTGATATTAATGATATTGTTCGATAATTTCTGCACTCTGTCAGGTCACCTTTCTTTGGAATGGGACCAACTGCAGATCTCTCTCTCTATATATATATATTGCCTCTTAACTATTTCTCCTTTGCAGACTAAAGAACCACTAAAGAAAAGACTCATTTCTGGTCTTGGTATGCTTAAATTCTTTTCTTCTTGCTCCACTGCAGGCAGCAGTATCTGTGTGAGACATACTGTGATGTTCAACTCCCATCTAGCTTTCTATCTTTATGGGAATATTCCCATCAAGTTTTTGGGAAAATTCCCATCGAGTTTTCATGGCATTCTTATGAGCAGATCTCCAGGGACTCTCCCAGGCCCCTAACTGGGAAATTTCCAGATACCGTTTGCCTGCATGCAGGTTGGAATTTCTCCTTTGCAGACATGCCTATGGTTCCTTATCTGTCACCTTGAGTGCTATGCACTCTAATAAAGTGTTTTCTGCTTGCCAATTTCTCGTTTTTTCCTGACCCAGGAACAGCTCACTGGTATCACATGAGACATACTGCATGGGCAAATCTGCTGTCAAAAGACCTCTCCAAATTACTGAGAAGCTATGATGTCAGCTTGAAGAGTAAGGGGCACCTGATACACATCATGGTCTTTTCAATCACTTGCTATGTATCTGAGCTGGACAAAGAGTAAAGATGGCAGAAGATCTGAAGTCTTTGAGTTGTGGTGTTAAAGGAGAGCACTGACTATCTCAATCACAAAAGAACACACAGATATGTTGCAGAGAACATGCAGTCAACAAGTAAAGATGAAAGAAGATGAAATGATGCCTTTCAGTTGTGGTGTTAAAGAAGAGTATTGACTATCCCATGGAAAAAAGAATAAACACATATGTCTTCGACAAAGTACAGTCAGAATGCTCCTTAAATGCAAAGATGACAAATCTTTATTTCACAAACCTGCTAAGAGAGGTTATTCCTTAGAAAGAGACATAATGATTGGATAAGTCAGCAAAAGAAAAGAAGACCCTTTGTGAAATGGATTGAAGAAGTGACTGTACAACGTGTCAGGGATGATGAGAGTGGCACAGGATAGGACAGGTTCATATCTGTTGTTCATATGGTCCCTCTGAGTTGTACAGGACTTGAAGGCACCTAACAAGAACAGCAGCTAAGCCCATATTTCATTCTGTCAATCTCATCAACCAGACATTAGTAACCATGGCCTCAGGCATGGAACTCCATTCAATGTGATGCAATCACAGTTTCTCCAATAAGATTTGAATCTCAACTTTGGAAAGAAGACACTCTTAATTCCAAATATGTTCCCTCTTTGAGATAATCTCCTTCAGCTCCAGCATATTCTTTAGCATTCACTTTATCCTTTATATAGAGTGTGATAGTACACAGAGTTGCACTGCAAAGCAAAAGATGAGCACTTCAAATCCACAAGTTACTCTGTAGAGGACGGTATAGCACACTCCCTACCCCCTACAAAGATATACAGCTCCAGAAAACCAATAGTGGGTCACTATGAGTCATAATCTACTTAAAGACAGTGTATTTGAGCGAATCAACAGTAACTAGAAAATAATTCTCTATATTAAACCTTTTTCTGGTCAAATTATCATTTGGTTTCTGGCAATTTACAGGATCTACGTCATGACCTAATTAAGGAGGACCTGAAGCATTTGCTGCAGAAGGTAAAAAAAAAGAAACAAAACACTGCAGCCTTCAATATGGATTTCATCTCAACAGCAAGAAAACAAAGATCCTCTCCACTGTGCCAAAAGGCAGCATTACAATAAATAGATGGAGGAAGGACTGAGGTTGTTAATGATTTCATTTTGCTTGAATCCACAATCAACACTCTAGGCACAAGCAGCAGAAAATCAAGACAATATGTTGTTGTTGTTGTTGTTGTTGTTGTTGTTGTAAAGTGCCTTCAAGTCGCAGACGACTCGTAGCGACCCTATAAAGGAGAGTCCTCGACGCTTGGGTGCTTTTCATCCTCTCTCCAGGTTCACAGGGTTTTTGGAGGCAAGCTATTATGGACGTGGATGCCACTCCTCCTTCCAAGCTTGTTTTAATTGGGGACCTCCACCGCACTCTCTGTCTGCATTGGGTAACTGACCATTAATGCATTTGACACATCAGTGTCACAGTGTTTAGCCTGTACAGCAACTTGTACACCAGGGCTATATGACCTAGAGGAATGTCTGAACAAAAACAATGAAAGACTAGCCCAAGGGCATCAGGCCCGATGACCCTTCAGTGTCTTAAAACCTGGCACACCCAAATGCTGGCAAACTGCTTTCCCCAGACCCCCAGTTCATCTGGCAAGGCCATTCTGCCGACACCCATGTGGGGCCAAAAGAACATCATACCACAAGTGCCCTGAGCCCTCAAACCTGGCGTGCCTCAAGAAGCCAGAGTCTGGATTCAACTGACATTAAATTTCCCAAGACCCTATGTGGGACGCAACCTTTCAGTATACAAAGGTAAAATCTGTGTTGACTCAGCAATTCCACTACTGGGAATATACCCTGAAGAGACCATAGCTGACATCCAAGCAGATATATGCACACCCATGTTTATTGCAGCTTTGTTCACAATAGCAAGGAGTTGGAAACAACCTAAGTGCCCATCAACAAACGAATGGCTAGAGAAGCTATGGTATATTCGCACAATGGAATACTATGCTGCATTAAAAAACAAGGAACTCATGCAATATTATTCAAAATGGTTGACTCTGGAGAACATTATGCTGAGTGAAATATCCCAGTCACAAAAGGACAAATATTACATGATGCCACTGTTGTAGAATGGGACTGTCCTTGGGGTTGGGGAGAGACTGAGTAAGATGGGTTCAATAATGTATACTGCACTGAAACAGAGGAGGGAGAGAACCGTCTAAAAGAGAGATGTAACTGGGTATCTCTGTCATCACAGGAGACTAGAGCGAGGGCTGCATGGTGGAGGGGACCTGGGGGATTGTTTGTAAAACAATGAAAGAATCTTTTCTTTTACTTTTCCATAATTTTTGGACTCATGTACTTATAACTTGTTAGTCAAATTTGTGTCTTCTAGGTTGCAACACCCCCATGATACATCTTGAAGGATATGTACATGTACAGCCAAGCACAATCAATAAGAGTGCATCTGAATTCCAAAATCAATCTCCATAATAGTCTATGTGTTTCCTACTGCCAAAGGGGCCCTTTAGAGTAGTGAGAGAAGATCTTCACCCTGAAACCCACAGCGTCCCTTTTCAGCAGGAAGTAGCTAAGAGAATACGCCGTCCCCTTTTCCTTATGACTCAGGGTGAAGTCTCTCTCAGGGAGGAGTGATAGGGAATGGCAAAGGATACACTGACAAAGGAGATTAATCAGAACTGGCTTTGACAAGCACTGTGGCATTTGGACAAGAACAAACTGGGAGGAGGATAGAGAGAATAGTGCAACAATGAATGAGTGGAAGCCCAAAATCTCTGTAAATGTTTATGAAAATTAATAAAATATAATTATAGAAAAAAAAAAAAAAAAGATCTCTCCAGAGTGAGTACTAAAGAGCTACAATGTCAGTTTAGGGACTACCATGCACTGTCTTCTCAGTTGCTTGCTCTGCATATGCGAGCTAGACAATGAGTAAGGTTGAGAGAAGAGTTTATATAAGCCTTTGAGTTGTGGTGCTAGAGAAGAGTAATGAACATAACACAGACTGCCAAGAGAACAAATAGGTCTGTCCTGGAGAGGGTGAAAGCAGTTTACTCCTTGGAGGCAAGGATTTTTAACCTGTCTCACATACTTTAGGCTGGTGACCATGAGGGAGCAGCCACGGAGAAGAACATCATGCTTAGAGGGGTAGAGGGTCAGTGCAAAGAGGAAGACCCTGCATGAGATGGACGCACACAGTGTTTGACAACAGATTCAGGTGTTTCAGAGATAGTGAGGTTGGCTCAGGATAGCACAAGGTTCAGAGCAACTGTTCACAAGGTTGCTAAAAGTTGCTACAACCAAAACACTCTGGTAGCTTAGTGGTAAGTAATTGCACTGGCAACGCAAAGGTACAAAGTTCAAATACACCAGCTGCTCCATGTGAGAAAGATGGGCAATCTTCTCCTGTACAATTTGCTGTCTCTGAAAACCCATGGGAGGGTCAACTATGGGTTGGTTCTAACTTGATGGTACAGAACAACTGGCTATGACCAAGAAGATGTTGGCTTATCAATGAACATGTGTTCATATGCCTTCAGCATCAAAGTCTACTTGCGGAGGCAACAGAACCTGATAACAAGACAATGCTTTCAGTTCTGTAACTGTATTCCATCAGCTAAAGAAAAACTAGGAATATAAAATAGCACAAAATGATGGCCTATAACCAAATTACTTACCATGATTTTGAACATACAACAAAACCAAGATACTTAAACATACCAAATAATTCTGTATTGAAGCAATGTTGACGGCAGACTTTCTCCACTGCCTCTGATATACCAAATCAGTATCCAGGCCGTAGGTGTGAGCCAATGACAAGGCTTCCTCATATTCTTCACTTTCAATCTTTAGGAAAGAAAACAAACAGAAACATCACATTATTGAGTTATTCACAACATTATTAGATAGTTCTTCATAATAGTTCTTCATAAACAATGGTACTCTCTTGAAAGAATATTGTGAATTGCTAATTTTGTTCATGTGCACTGCGAGAGCATTAGCAAACATATTGAGGGTCTGAGGTCAGGTTATTTGTTCTAACAATTTAAAAGAAATATGAGGAATAGAAAGTGAATTTTCTAGTATGATGGCAAAATCAACCAGACCCTTACTCCATGGAATCCTCCTAAAACACTACAGGAACAGAATAAATAAGTAGAATGCAAAGTGCTGGTCCCAGGGGAAATCCTAATTGGAAAATGAGTGTCCATATTTCATTTCTCAGTAGCCACAGTCTGAGTGGGAAATTTTACTTAAACATAATAAAAAGGTGAAAGCTACAGGCCACATAAAATTAGCAAAAACAAAACAAAAAAAGTACTAAGAAATAAAGTAATCAGTCTTTAACAAATTCCCAAGTGGACTTCTATTTATTCATGGTTTCATTTTGTCTTTTCCATTATAAAGCCCAACAATATTTTTTCAAGTTGTTCCACAACACTGGTCTTTTTAAAACATCAATGATATCACAATCCTTCTTTAAATGTCTTTACAAAAGAAAAAGTTATATTTTTTTTCTCAGTAAAATACGGACTCCCTCAAACTTTAGCAACACTCTCACCTTTCTCTGATAAAGTTCTTCTGGAGTTGTAGATCTCAAACTCACAAGGCGGTAATTTTTTGTAATAGTTCGTGGGCGTTTCCTTGGTGGAGCAAATCGCTCCATTTCAGTCACTAAGTAAAGGCCTTGTTTTATATAACCAAAGTAGCGAGTCTTGGCAGATATTTCATGATCAGAATCAGAATTATCTTCTCCTTCATCTTCTTCTCCAGAAGACCTTGTCTCTAAACGAGACCTTTTGGGGGCAAGTTTAATTTCACACTGAAAAGTAAAAAAAGATATTTAATTATCAGTGAGGAACTAATCACCAGGCTTTAGTGTTAACAACAGAATAGTATTTTTTTACTTCAATGGTTTAATAAATCACTCATATCAACCAAATCATTAAGACTAAGAATAGATTAGAACTATCCCAAACAAAAACATACATTAACAGTTTCAAAACTATACACATATGTTAGTAATTTTATGTCTCCAAAATTAACTTGGTTTTTAATAGTAAGCCATTAACAAAGTCCTGAAAATACATGTCATATAATATTTTTAGAGAAAGAAAGAAGCTAAGGATATTAATTTTATACATGGTATTTCTCTCCCTGCTATGAAAAATAACTTTTTGTTTGTTTATTTTGGGGTTTGTTATTCCTATTTCATTGGTTTAGAAAAGTAACAATAAGGTTTATTTGCCTTACCAAAAATAACTTTCTTTCTTTAAAATATCTCTAACATCTGCACAAAAATTTATAATCTGAATTAGCTTAGATTTTAAAACAGAATTCTCTTTAACGATGTTTAGACACAATAAAAAATGCTGAAGTTAAATACAGCTATCAATTTAAAATGAAATGAAAGCTACTAAAGCTGTTACTCACGAATAACTTAAAAGAAGAATTTAAATGACCAAAATGTAACTTTAAAGAACTTCCCTCTATACTTAGGTCTTTCTCATGATAAATTATTTTTTTTAAAACGAACCAGAGTTTTTAAGGTATCAAACTCAATTGAAACCTAAGTTAAAGACTGTATTTCATAGGCAGTAATATAATTTTATATCTTAAAATTACTATTATAAGAAAAAGAACCAAAACTTCAGCAAAGAAAGACAGCTTTAGAAATAGCAAAATGGCTATAAATTTTCTTCATTCTATTACAAGGGTGTTATTTAGGGGGTTTTTTTTAACCAAACAATAGTATGGGACTTGGGTTGTGGGGGTTTTTTCTCTCCTGCTACTGTATCTAGTGTGTCACTCAAATTATGGGGCTTTTTTAGCCAGTAAACATAAAATGTAATCACGGGATAATTATGACTATATTAAACTCAGATATTTAGATTTTGGTTAAATAATGTTCACTCTTATACAAGCAGTTTTAAAAAATTAATACACTACCTCCAAGCTTAAAAATCCACCGTCATGAGTAGCAGTGACTTGAGGTGATGGTTCAAACCACTCGCAGGACTTTCCTAATAAATTCTTTAATGTTTTCACAGATGAAACAGTTAAAGCACCAGAGCAGCGAGCCAAAGTAACTGCACTCTCTGCCCACCAATTTACATCAATCAGTGGGTAAAAAGACTCTTTATCTAATGGGAGAAAAATGGAGACACGTTTCTGAATCTATTTTAAAATACAATATATTTAGTCCAAAAATCACCTTCAAAACCATATTCACGTACCTTATATAGGCCATAAAAACAGGCAGGCATAACTTGTCTGCTCATGATTCATTTTACTATGCTTTCTAGGTACATTCATTTTCACAAATGGAGAGTTTGTGGCAATCTGCCAATGAACATGCCTACTGGTACCAGTTTTCCAATAATATGTACTCATTTAGCACTTCTGTATTACATTTAGGTTATTTTACCAATATTTCAAATTATTCCCTTAGTCATTACATTTAATAGACTACCCAAATACACTGCTGCTGAGTTAAATCCACTTCATACTAAGCTTCCACTGGATTCTGGAAGCTGTAAATCTTTACAGGAGTAGACTGCCCCTCTTTCACCCTAAAGTATTTAAAAAGTCAGCCTTTGGTTAGCAGTCTTACAATCTGGCACACTGCAATACTCCTTCAAACAGACACCAGTATATTATAAATGTAAATGATAAACTTTTACATACACTGTGAAGCCAAAAAAATCCACATGACTAACTTTATTGCAATATTCAATTTGTTACAGTGGTCCAGAAGTGAGCCCATATATCTCAGAGGAAAGCCAATACTGAGTACTTGACAAAATATTGCCAGTATGAATACAAGTAGAGGCCTAAAAAGTCTATAGAGCAATTCTGTTGTATAATATTGATTTTTCATGTTTCAGAAAGGGCCCAGCAACACCAATATTCATTCAAACATTATTCACCTATGAGGTATAAAATAATAATTCATTTCATGAATAGATAGTCCTGACAATTTCAGAACAACTATCCAAGATTGTAAGAATATACAGGCAAATAAAAGTCCTTTTTTAAAAAAACTAATATATTCAGGAAAGTGGCATGTCAACACATCCAACATAAAAGTTGAAAAATAAGTATGTACAAAGAGTGTATACTATGAAAGCTCTAAAAACTCTCTATATGCTTATATATGACTTTTTAGGAAAGCTAAATGGGAAAATTTCACTCCTTACAAAGTGTAAAGATATTGATAATATAATCTAATGTTAATTTCTTTGTAAACTTACAATCCAATCAAAGGAAAAACACTAAAGATCAGATAGAAATTTTAGGAACAAAAATTAATTATGGTTCACTTAACTGAGGAACTGAAAAAGAAACAATAGTACTTATTATGAACTTTTTTTAATAATTCACATGATCTACAAAAGGATCTTAGTAGCTTCACAAACATACACAAAAATTTCATTTAAGTATATTTTAAAAACATTAGACTAAGAAGATCAAGAAAACAGGAACTCAGCATCATGATCACCCCTAATTTTTATTTTTAAAAAAGCCAAAACAAAACTACAACAACTAGACACTTTTTCTCTGTATTTAAAAGTTATATAAGTAGACAATTCTAATAAAATCATAAAACTAAGTTATATGGCCTCATGCATAACCAAAACCAGAAAGAACAAATATCAAATCACTTAATAATCTCTCTCCTGATAAATTACTTTTATACAAAAGACTGTTTCTGGGTGCATATTTTAGATAACTAACAAAAAGATCTAAATCAAAACGTGGTATTATTCCTCAGTCAATATTTAATGGTCTCTAAATGTAAATTCATATTTTCCGACAGGACAGAGTAGAACTGACCCATAGGGTTTCCAAGGCTATAAATTTTTTTGCTTAGCTGATGGATTCCGAATGAGAATCTTCCAGTTAGCAGTTAAGCAGGCCAGCCCAGTACTACCAGGATATTAGGCTTGCTCTGACTTAGAATCAAGTCAAAGGCAGTTATTTTAATATTTAGTTTTTGACTCGTGACTAAAAATTTTATAGGTGATACTTAAAATATTCAGGGATATTTACCTTTGGTAATCTGATTAGAAGAAAAAATCAAATTAATCTTCCAAAAGATTTTTTGTTTCATTCATTCTGATTCTACAATGACAATGACTTTTACTTATACATGAATGCTGATTCAAGTGTTTTCTAGTTATGAAATAATATATGTTCACTGTAAAAAGTTAAAGAAAAAACCCTTCAAGTATAGAAATGTAATAAAGTGAAAATCCTTACACAAATTAGTTTCCTCTTTCACCTACTAAACGTAGCTAATGTTTATAATCTTTGAGGCCTATCTTTCAGATGTTTTGCCCAAAAACACAGCTTAGTTTTGAGTTAAGTTTAAGCTACCTTGTTATGGTAGGACACTGTAGTTTAGCCTGAGCCCAGACTCAACCTTTGGGGAAAGTCAACCGCAGGAACATCGCCTGGCCTTCAGAAAATGAGATCTGACAGCCAGGAGACAAAGAGTGGGCCCTTTTGGTCCCCACTTCACTGCAGCTGCTGGCTGGCCTAGAAGACAGCTAAATAAGAAACCATCTTAAACAGGTGACTTCTCCTTTGATTCCTGACCACTCCTCCAGACCCACTCACTGCCTCACCTACAGTCAGCAGACATAGAGCAGACCCTTTTGAACCTCACTTCACTGCCTAGGAAAAGAAGGCCTTACCAGATGGTTTTCCTAGTAAATTTTATGAAGAATTCAGAGAAGAATTGTTACCACTTCTACATAAAGAATTTTAGAAAATAGAAAAGATGGAACCATTTTATGAAGTAGTATCTCTCATGAAGACAGACGTAAAAATGCTCAATAAAATCCTGGTGAAGAGAATCTAACAACACATAAAAAAAAAATTCACCATGACCAAATTGAGTCATAACAGGTATCCAACAATCGTTCAAAATAAGAAAGACAAGTAATGTAGTTTATCAACTTAACAAAGCACAGAACAAGAACCACATGATCTAATCAACTGATTCAGAAAAGGCCTTTGACAAAATCCAACAACCTTTCCTGATTAAAACACTTAACAAAAAATAGAGGAGAATTTCCTTAACATGATGGAAAAATACATACACAAAACCAAGAGCCAACATTGTTCTTAATGGAGAGAGATTAAAGATATTCTCCTTGAGAACAGGAAGCAGGCAAAGATGTCCATTATCACCTCTCTAATACTGTACTGGAAGTCTTAGCCAGAGCAATAATGCAAGAGAAGGAAATAAGA